CTATTATTATTATTATTACTATTATTATTACAATTATTATTTTTATTGTTACTATTATTGTTGTTATTATTATTACAATTATTATTATTATTATTATTATTATTGTTATTATTATTATTACAATTTTTATTCTTGTTATTATTATTACAATTATTATTAATATTGTTGTTATTATTATTACAATTATTATTATTATTCCTATTATTATTACAATAATTATTCTTATTGTTATTATTATTGTTGTTATTATTATTATTACTACTATTACTATTATTATTACTACTACTACTATTATTATTACTATTATTATTATTGTTATTATTATTATTAATAATATTATTACAATTTTTATTCTTATTGTTATTATTATTACTATTATTAATCCTATTGTTGTTATTATTATTACAATTATTACAATTATTATTATTCTTCTTATTATTATTATTGTTGTTTTATTATTATTATTATTATTATTATTATTATGATTATGATTATTATTGCCCCTCAATCTGCAGCCACTACTTTATATGTGCTTTTGGGTGTATGGCCATACACGATACATGCGCTATATAAACACACAAATCACACTACATTATATTCACTGCAAGGGCCATTGTGACCAATCAGAGGGGGCAAGGTCTCTGAAAGGCGGGGTTTAAAGAGAATGGATCCTTGAATCATGTGATACTACAAAGGTAAGGAGCTGACACCACAGTTGACATTAAGAGGAAACGAACGCATTGTTGACCTTGACTTTAGTGGATGTAAGCCTGCTGTGGGAGACTAAACATTAAAACTGGCCGAACACAGAGACTCTACAGTCTGAGCGGCACATTTCTGACTGAGATGATGATGAAGGTCTCTCTGATAGTGTGACTGACCTGCTTCTGTAACAGCTGGATCTGGCCCTCCTGCCGCTCCACTGTTTCTCTGAGCTGAAACACACACAGCACATGCAAATGGAAACAGTGTGTACCGTACTGCTCAGTGGAAACGGGCCAGAGATGCCATGTTATCCTTTACAGGGCTCTTATTAAAATACTCAGCAGAAACACACTGGAGTGGTTCATTATGACTTCATAAAACAAACAAATATGATAATCACCGTCAGTGAAGTGACCGTATACAGCGCTCAGCACACTGACTACAGCCCATTATGAAGATGAACATGCTCCTCAATTTCTCAGTGAATATAGGCCGTGTGTTTCAGTGCATTAACCAAAACAGATTTATTAAACAGATTTATTTATTATTTAATATTTAGTCATCAAACATATTGGGAATTTGACAGATAATACAATTAAACTCAAAATATTGCACAGTTTTGTTCCATGTTTTCTGTTTCTCTCGATTTTTCCTTTTATAAATGTGTATTTACTATTGTTCTATACCATGTAAATGTGCCTGTACTAGTGTTTGGACCATTATCATGAGATGTTTTGTTAGATGAGCTCCAGATTTGGCTTCAGTGTTGACTAATCTCGTATATATGCACGAATATAATACTGAAGAGTTTCCTATTACACATATGCATTGTTACTTTCCTGTGTTGCGTGATTATTATTTTCCTCTCTCTCTCTCCCGCTTTCATCCCTACAGTGGCTCTGATTGGCTACCGCTGCCCAGCTGTTTGCCGTGATGTCACCACACGGTCTCCAATCCAGCCGCTGCCACCGTGGCATAACAGTGGTGCCAGGATGCTACTCGCGAGGTCCTGAATTTCTGTGTTGTGTGTCAGTGAAACTGCTATCTGTTATTTGTCTGTTCTCCACCTGAGGTTTAGGAGTGGGGCAGGTGGGCACGTGTTGTGACAGTGGGCTTTGAATATCACTTTAGTTAGACACACTAGGTAAGTGGCGTGCTCCACCCGCTGTACTTTTGTTTTTCTCATATATTAGAGTAGGTTAGGTTGTGCGTAACAGACCGGAAGGTTTTCTGGTCAATAGCTGCTATATTTTTCTTCTGGATGGTTAGGGTGGAGATTGGGCCAGAGTGTTTAGTTTTATTTATTTCTATTGTTCAGACGCCGCCCGCGTCTCATCTCTCCAACTCTCCCATCTATCAGTTCAGACATCTCGCATTCATTATCTGTAATTTTCACTATACTCTTGTAAATATTTATTGCTCTTGCTATATACCTATTTTTGTACTTAATGTTATCACTATCTTTGTAAATAAACTCAATTTAACTCCGCTTATTGCAACCCAGGCTCATTCTGAAAACGTAGTCCCGTGGACGTTTCTGGAGATCGCGAAATACGTCCCGGGAGGTACGTATGGCTGCATTTCATTTTTTAAGCGAACGCTACGAGGTGGTGTGACGCTGTTCCCTTTTGCGCTTGCCGGCTGACCGCTTACCTCCGTGTGGAGGGGTTTCCCGCTGCAGTCAGTTTGTTCAGTCAGCTCATCATGTGTGTCGGCGGGCTTCAGATGCAGAGAGGAGGAGACAAAGACGTCCGGGTTTGAGTCCGGGGAAGAGCGGTTCCAGAAACCAGGTAAGACAAAAACAGAATCCAAAAAATAAAGCGAACGAGTTCATAACAGGGTGAGAACACGGTGAAATCCGGAAAAAAACAGACATGGGCTTTTCTTTTCTAGACGGCTTTTCTAAATTGTTGCTCGGCTTTAGGGAAGTGAGCGGGCGGGTGGGTCAATCGGTAAAACTGGTTGGGTTCAGGGCAGGAGGAGGGTGGGTCAGCTGATTGGCCGGTCGCGCAGTCAATCATTCGGTCAGTCAGACAGCGGCCTCTGGTGGGTTGATGCGAGAACAGCGCGGGCGCGAACGGCACTCGCGAGAGACGTTCAAGATACGAAAAAGCGCACACAGCGGCCTCTCGCGGATTCACGAAAACAAAAACGGCACAATTACGTACCTCCCGGGACATATTTCACAGTCTCCAGAAACGTCCGCTGGACTACATTTTCAGAATGAGCCTGGGTTGGTTTAGTTAGTCTTGGCATTTTGTCCCTCACTTGTTGATATAGTGTTTTTGCTTATGTGTTTCACCCAAAATTAACGTTGCTCTCCTTCCCCTTACTCACCATCTTCAATACTGTACATGCATTTAAAAGAGAGAGTCGTCATGCACTTATATATGCTGAGCACTGTATGGTTCTTCCTCCATAAAGGGTTAATATGTTCAAATATAAATCAATATATGTAATTTTGGTCTCTCTTTATCATCAGTGGCCTTAACTCAGGGGTGTCAAACTCAATTCCTGGAGGGCCGAAGCCATGCACAGTTTAGTTCCACCCCTGCTCCAACACACTTACCTGTAGGTTTCACACAAGCCTGAAGGACTCAATTAGTTTGATCAGGTGTGTTTAACTAGGGTTGAACTAAACTGTGCAGAGCTGCGGCCCTCCAGGAACTGAGTTTGACACCTGTGCCTTAACTAGTATAATCTTACACTGAAATACCCTTACATTAATATAAAGTGAGACTGTTGTCTCTGATGGCACAGCTCCTGTTCAGAAAGGCACTGATGTCAGTGTGATCGTACCTGCTCCAGCTGGACATTGGCTCCACAGCAGCTCTGCTCGCCTCGGCTCGTCTCCACACCGTTCATCCGCTCGTAATCCACACATGCTGTCTTCTGCAGCACAGCACAAACACAGTCAGCTCAGCTCAGGTCACCTGTGAGCCGTTAGATTGAGTGTGTACAGGAGCGCACCATCATACTCTTCCCAGCGGCGGCTTTGAGCTGGTCCAGCTCCTCATAGGGCAGCGTGGCGCTCTCGGTGTAGGAGGACGTCAGCGGCTCCATGGACTCTCGGGAGTCATCCGGCATCGGGATGTACTCTGCATCCTGCAGCTCCTGCAGACACACAGCAGTGTATATATATATATTATATAGCATGCAGAAACACTTCACATATAGGCTTTAGTGCCTGCTTAGGCTTTTTAAACAACAATATCTTCATAATATACATATAATAACACATTGCCAACACAAAATACGCACCCACTATCCTTCAGCTTAGTCCCTGATATATTAGGAGTCAATAGAAAATACCAATACATTAAATAAATGATGCATAATAACACTTCAAGCTTGTTCTGATTGTTCGACACAAACTCTGCACATCTGAAATGAGCTTTAAGCAGAGCAGGAGGCGTCTGGCTGCATGAGGGACAGCAGATGATGGCGGATGTTCACCTTGCGCAGCCATGAAGGGCAGGAGCTCTCGTTGGTCTTGCTGTCCATGGAGAAGAGGGGCGTCTCCAGGCCTCGATCATCCATAACAGCCTCCACAGTTCCACCCAGCATCCCCTCACGCAGCTCAGAGTCTGTGGCCGAGGCCGTCTCCAGATCCACGGAGGAGGTCGAGCACTGACCTGCAGCCGTCACACAGCGTTACACACACACACACACACACACTACAGGCAACATACATAACACTATATACATCTGTATAAACTATAGTAAATCTTACCGCTCCCGATAGACAGTCCACTGCTGTTTGAGCGGATGGTTTTGGAGTTCAGCACTTTTTCTGTCAATGCACATAAACAACAGCAGCTAATAGCACGAGCTCATCAAGCTCCTTATTGAAGAGTAGAGACGCTAACATAGTGTTATTTGACTGCCACTGATGAGAGGAGTGTCCTGAAGCGCAGCGCTTACTGACCCATGATGAGGATTGTATGCCAGCCCCTGCAGGACAGATCCGGCACATGGTGTAAAGAGCCGAAGATGGGCCGCGGGAGAGCCGGACAGACCTCTGACCCGAAGCCTTTATCAGCCGGCATCCCGAGACGACCATTACCAGCGTTACCCCACGCAAAGATCTGATTATCTGAGAGACACACACAGCAGAGACATCACTGAACACACAGGTCATCCAGCAGACACACACACACACTACAGCTGTCTTCATCAGGTGGAGCTGCTGTTCAGAGATTTTGCTTTCTGTAATTAGGAGCATGTAAAGAGAGCCCAAGAGTGAATATCAGAACACAACTCTGCTCTCAATGCTGGATGATGATGATGATGATGCGTCTCCTTCAGTTTGACAGACACTCCTGCATTTGGTGCAGTCATTTGTGTGTGTGTGTGTCTCACCCTCAGTGGCGGCGATGGTGAACCCGTCTCCACACGACACCTTGGTGACGATCTTCCCTCCGAAGGGCCCGACGAGGATCTGGACGCCCTGGTGCTTCTTAAAGTCCTTCACTCCCAGCTGACCGAACTTATTACAGCCGAAGGTCATGAGTCTGCCACGCTCTGCGCACACACACACACACACACACACACACACACACACAATGAGCATCAGATGAGTGTAAGCACATTGGCGCAGTTACTCAAACACACCATCAATGGCAGCGGTGTGTGTCTTTCCCGGAGCGAGGAACTGGATCTTAAAGCGAGACAGCAGCTTGACCAGCGTCAGTGTGGTGGTGTACGGGATCCCCTGATAGCCCTGAGAACACACACACACACACACACACACACACACACAGAGAAGAGCGGCTCAATCGTGCAGCATTTCTCATTTGACTGACAAACTAAAGAAATGACAAGCAGAAATATAATTATTATACACATTATCATGTGTCCTGCTGTGAAACTGTAACATCTCATATATTTCCCAAGTGCTGGTCAGCAGAGAAAGGTCATTTTCCACAGTTTTTTTCTATTTTTCCTTCTGAAGAAAGTCTTATTTCTTTTAGTTTTAGTCTGGAGATAAGCTAAATATTTAACAACAAAAGGTTTTAAAAACAAAAACTACTGCGGTCAATATTATTAGCCCCCTTAGGGAATATATATATATATATCATTGGCTACAGAACAAACTGCTGTTGTCCAGTGACTTGCCTAATTACCCTAGTGAAGCCTTTACATGTCACTGTAAGCTGAACACTAGTGTCTTGAAGAATATCTAGTCTAATATGATGTGCTGTCATCATGGAGAAGAGAAATATGAGAGATATAAGAAATATGAAGTGCTTATAAGTAGGTGTGTGGTGCATATAAAGAGGACTGTATATTGCAAATATTTCATACAGATTACAGAAGCACTGAGCATTTGTTTTCTCGTGTATTTGTCTGGTCTAAGAGTGGAGATCTGCAGCTTCATGCTGATATATTCCTCATGTGTGTGTATTCTCTGAGACTCCAGTGTGTTGCTGAGCTCAGAGGATTCATCATGAAGCTGCAGAAACTGCCATAAACACACAGCTGCACTGAAGCCCCTCCCCCAGAGAATCATCAGTCTTCAGTGATCACTGATTGGCTCCTGTACTAGAAGGCGGGGCTTCCTTTACATTTCCCCTATTTAAAGCTGTACGGGTGACCCGTCTTGTGTGTTCTGTATCCTATAGTGAAACGCAGTGGTGAGCACGAGCTCGTGTTTGTGCGAGCTCATACTTCTCCAGGGTGGTTCTTGATTCCTGTGATGCCTTGATTCAGACCCAGTTTGTTGAACTCGTTGTTTCCGCAGGCTAAAACCTTCCCAGACTCTGTGAGGAAGAAGGTGCCGTCGCTGCCGCAATAAACAGAGTCGATGACGGCACCCTGAGGAACCTCCACCTACACACACACACACACACACACACACACACAACACACACACACACACACACACACACACACACAGATACAATACACACAAGCATTACCTCAATAAAGCAACATTAACACAGATGGATGAGCAGCTAGGTTAGTTGAAGCACGACATTTTCAACTTTTACCAGCTCATCATGTACAATAATCAGCAGAAGGTGATGAGAAATGCAGTTTCCCAAGCAGATTTGCATCTCACACTGACTGCACAACGCTAATTCACTGCAAACATGCTTCTCTTACTTAATTTATGTCCTGTTTCTAGTATAAATATCTAAAATATCTTATTTTATAATCAAGAAAGAAATTTAGTTTTGTTTTCAGCAATAATGCGTCAAAATGAAGTGAGTTTCTCCTTAAAACAAGCCAAATAATCTTATTTAAAGAGGAAACAAGGTTATTCTGCTCACGCTATTGTCAGAATATTGAGCTTGTTTAAAGGAAAAACTCAATTTTGACTCTTTTGATTTCTGAAAACAGGCCGATATTTCTTTCTTGTCTAGAAAATGCTTCTTGATTTAAGAATATTTAGAGATTTAGACTAGAAACAAGATACAAGCTTAAAGATCTGCTGAAGTGTCATAAAATCACACAATATGACAAACTGCAAGCTTTAAATGTTTATATATTCCACTTGCAAATGTAGTTTTTCAGATCACTAGGTTATAGATAACATCCAGTAACCCTTTAATTACCAATTCTCACTATAACTAGCTTATTACTTGTCTATTTTAAGACATTATCTGTTTATTAGTACTAATAAAGCACATATGCTGCATGATCTTATTCTACATCCCTAATCCAACACAATACCTAAACCCAACTACTGCCTTAATAAATATTAATAAGCATTTATTGAGGCAAAAGGCATATCTAACGATAAATTGATGGTGAAAACTGTCCATTGAAATGTAGTCTGACCAGATTGACAGTGATAGGAACAACTAAAACACTTTAAAGCTGCAGTATGTTTGTTTGACACGCAGTGGCTGAGCTGGGTATTGCACGCCTGGTTCAGACAGGTTGCCAGATTGATGACATCAACATATCAGTGATTCAGCGTCTACATTTAATCCTGTTCAAGAGCTTTAATATGTGTTAATTAGATTATAAATGATTGTGCTGGAGTGCAGTGAGTGCACTATTCTGAAAGGCTGTGTTTACATTCCTGTCCTGTTCATCTGCTGCAAACAGCCAAACTGCTCATCACTGCGTATCTCATCCTGCAGTGTGTTGTTGGGACACAGGGTTACAATGTGACCTGCTCACCTAATGTTTACACTCGTAATGTTTATAGTATTTGCTTATTAATAACCTCATGTGGAACTCTGAATCTGAGTCTCATTTCAGAGTCTGCTACTGTCCACAAGAGGTCACATTTCGGTCACAGACGCACACTCTGAGAGCCTCCCTGACTGAATGAATGAATGAAATACACAGTTTTCCATCATCTGGCAACCCGGGGTGCTGAAATATAATTGGCTAAACTGGCATTGGGCGGGTTAAATGACCAAAACAAAGACAGACGCTCCGGCACGTAACGCACAGCAGAATATCTGACTTCAGCATTGTGCTTCAGATACACATGAATGTTCACCGGGCATGATCTGAAATATATCTGCACACATATTATGGTATTTATACGCTTCAGAAGAGTCACAAACTTGCAGCACTTTTAATTCAGACTTCAGCAGAGCTTTAAAATGTAAAATAACAATACCTGCATTGGAGAGGAGAAATCATCCTCACAGTCGAGACCGAGCCGCCCTGCGGAGGGAAGAGGCAGAGACTCTGGTCATGCAACAGTAAGTGTGTGGAGACTCTGATTATGTGACAGGAAGTGTTTGCGGGTCACATGTAGGCATGGGACGATAAGCGGTTTCAAGGTTCACTGTGGTTTGGAAACATCATGCTTTTAAAAATGCTCCTATTTTCTGTTCTAGCATTGCGGTGGTCTATAAGTTTTATAAGTGTTTTGTAAGTTATTGTTAGTTATTATTATAGATGCTCACCGTGCTCTCCGCAGCCCCAGGCATACAGCTCTCGGCTCTGTGTGAGTGCCAGCACATGGTTGTCTCCGCATGACACCTGACGCACGGCACGCTCCGTGAAGAACTCCAGCAGCACCGGCTCCAGCACCTCCATTCCCAGCTCGTTCTCCACACCCACACAGCCATAATAATCAGAGCCGAACATGTAGATCTGGTCCTCGTCTGGCGGAGAGCAGGCAGAAAAAACCCACAAGGCTGCGTCTGAGATACTGTAGCATACTGTATAGAATTATTAGCCCTCCTGAATGATCAGCTCCCCTGTATATTTTCCCCAATTTCTGTTTAATAAAGGAAGATTTTCCTTCAGCACATTTCTAATCATAATAGTTTAAATAACTCATTTATAATCACTGATTTATGTCATCTTTGCCATGATGACAGTGTTCATTGATCTGTTGTGGTGATTCTACAGTTGCTATGGTAACACAACAACTACTCCACAGTTGCTATGGTAACACAACAACTATAGTGATTGATCTGTTGTGATGATTCCACAGTTGCTATGGTAACACAACAACTATAGTGATTGATCTGTTGTGGCGATTCCACAGTTGCTATGGTAACACAACAACTATAGTGATTGATCTGTTGTGGCGATTCCACAGTTGCTATGGTAACACAACAACTATAGTGATTGATCTGTTGTGATGATTCCACAGTTGCTATGGTAACACAACAACTATAGTGATTGATCTGTTGTGGCGATTCCACAGTTGCTATGGTAATACAACTATGGTAATCTTAACAAATGACCCAATACTGTAGTTTTCAACAACTTTAGGGTATATATTACTACAATACACCAGCGTTTACTGTAGTAAGAGTGATGTAAACTACAGTATTTATCACAGTTCACTATAGCTGATACTACCGTATGCTGAGGCATTCATTAACAGAGACTTGTAAATACTACATTATATACAGTATAATACACTTTACTATGATTTACAGGAAGGTGACTACAGTATTTTTCACGTGGGCGGCTCCAGTGTCCTCCACTCACCGGTGACGCAGGCGGTGAAATCGGCTCCGAGACACCTGTCGGATGGCTTTACCCTGTAGACGCTCCACTCGCCGCGGCTGACGGTATGAGGCCTGGTCTCCATGACCCAGCTGACCCACCATCTTCGCTCCTCCCTGAACGCTCTAGACACACACACACACACACACACACACACACACACACACACACACACACACATACATATCCATCAGCTTCTCCTGACACCACCAACAATACACTCTTCCCTTCCGTCTGTTGGTTCTATTGTGTATTTTTAATCTTTTCATTATTTCGACATTATAATATTTATATTTATTTATTTTATGTAAATAAATGAATTTTTAATTAATTAATAAATGAACAAAAACAACAAGTGTGGTCAAAATACTGAACAATATACCACCATGCCCATTATCAACACACACATCCTATTCCTCTGCAGATATGGCATTGCAAATGTCTCTAAAAGTGCAAAAACACAAGTGTACGCATGCATAAGTCAAATAACAGCATTAATAACATAACATTATCACCAATGAACAAATGTGTCCTGAATTAACTGACTACAACTGAGCTGTGGAGAAAGAGGAGGTGGTGGCGGTTTTCATATGTGGACAATAATAATCTTTCATATTTGAATCCTTTACTTTTTGTCATATTTAATACATTTGCATGTTGCTGCGCATCCCTGTGTGTGCAATAAGCAATGTGGATGTATGTATTTTTATCCTGCCTAACATTTACATGCTCTTTGAAATAACAATAAAGAATTGCACCTTAACAAACATTAACATGCCCAAGGGTGCACAAATAACACCTGCTCCTGCACCTGATGCCACGATGCACTGGGTGTATGATGCTTTTGCAACTATCACATGTTCCTGCTGTGATTATTTGCTGAAGCTTCATCATGATAAACAGTATTATTAAAATATTGACCTAGATTTCAAAAAACAGGTGTAGTAACCCAAAAATACTTGGTGTATTGCTTTATTAGCCGAAACAAACCAAGCTGAAATAAAACAAATGAGAGTTTCTCCAGAAGAAACAATATTAGAGGAAATACTGTGAACATTTCCTGCATCTGAGAAACAGCATGTGGGAAATATTTGAGAAAGAAGAAAATAAAGCACAGGAGGGCGGATCATTGTGTGTCTAATTGTAATGATGAGTTGTGCATGATCTTACGGCCCATGTGTAGAGCTCTTTCTCCACCGTGACCACAGCGAAGTGTGTTTCTCCAGCGCAGACGTGTTGAGCACTGCTGCCGCCCTTGAACATGTCCAGCTTCTGTGGAGTGAACTTCCCTCCGCCCCAGAAATACACCTCCCGCGAGCGCGTCGTCACCACCGCCACGGACGTCTCGGTCACTGTACTCAGCCTGACACAACACAGCAGCGTCACGTAAACACACACACACACACACACACACACACACACACACACACACACACACACACACACTACTGCTGTATATGAGACGCAAACCTACTTGGGTTTCCTGATGGCGGAGTTCAGCGCAGCCACCCGCTCCTCCAGCTCTCTACACACACACACACACACACACACACACACACACGCACACACAATTAATGTACAATAAACTATGGCTGTAGTGCAGGTTAAGTCTCAACAAAATTATTATAATACATTTTAAACTCTCAAAATAAAATGCAATTAAAATAAATGACACAAAAAAATTTGCTATTTATATTTCAAACTAAATTAATATACACAATAAAAATTGCCGTAAAATAATAAAACCTGTTTGACAAAAGAGTATTTAATTTAGAAAATTAAACATTAAATAAAAAAACACAAGTGAATAAAATAAATAAATAAACAATCACTTTGTTCAATATGAATGGGTAAATTAAAACAAAATAAAATAATGATAGAAATGCAAGTTATGGCCTCAGTGACTCACACTCTGACATGAGAGATGACGGGCTGCTCGAGAATCTGCTCCGCTGTAGGCCGTTTCTCAGGATCCTTCAACACACACACACACACACACACACACACACACACACACACACACACACACACACATATGTCATGATGACATTACAGTGACCTCAGCACAGGTCCTCAGAGGGCCTGTTTACCTGGTCCAGACACTCGTACACCAGTTTGATGAGCTCAGACGTGTAGACATCAGAGTTGATCTCCATGGTCCAGTTCCCCTGCACGATCTTCACACACAGGTTCAGGGGATTCTGGGAAACACCACCAACAT